ACAAAATTCCAGAAGTATCTGCTTCCGTTTTGTTTTCTGAATGTTCCATATCAAACGATTTTTGTTTGAAAAAAAAGGACAAGATATAATTAAGATCACTTTCGGAAATCAAATTATTTTTCAGTAATAGACAAACTTTCAAACGATTCCATAAATGCCGGCTTTTAGGAATCGTTTTAAAAATTTTCAAACATGAGAGTTTTTGTATGAATAAACTAAGATATATTTAAGATAATTTTTGAAAACCAAATAACTCTACAGATACAAGCAAAATTTTAAGAAAACGATTTTATGCACGGTGACTTTCCGGAATCGTTTTCTAAATATCCAATTTCAAGCTTTTATGTTTGAATGAAATAAACCGTGATTAAAATTATTTTCAAGAACCAAATTATTGTATAGTAATAGAAATCGTTTTAACAAAACGGTGTCAATAAATGCAACTTTTTACTAAATTGTCATTATAAGTTTTATTCGTTAAATAAAACATGACATAATTAAGATTATTTTTAAGAACCAAATCGTTTAAAATAATAAATTGTTCGTAATTGTCGTTCGTAAATAAAGTAATAATTATAAAGTAATAAATTAAAGTAATAAATCGTTTAAAGTAAAGTAATTTAAAAGTTCATTTTAACATAATTCTTTTACAAAATATCTCTAATACTTCAACACTAAAATAAAGCGACTTTAGAATTTATGACTTGAAGGTATTTCATTTCGTCGTTCTTATGTTATAAGAAAAATCAAAGAAGTTGAGAACATCGTTTCTCAATGCCGGTTCCCTTAGTAAATATTTGGAATGATGTAATATATGTGTTGCGTAAATATTACGGAAGGCCGAATGAGCGGTCAGTGTCATTGGGTCAACAGAGTATGAAAGTGATGGGCGGGGAGTGAAGTGTTTAAGAAAATGATGGCACACACGTGTTGCATACGTTTGGCCTTGACTCACAGAGAGACCCGTTAAAATTGTTACATTCTATGGTCATAACTGTTACGCATTCTGTTCACACTGTTACGCAAGAATAATCTCATAATTCAAAAAGAAAATTAAATAGTTTTTATTATTATTACTATTATAAAAATTAAAATTAAGAACACGGAGTGGTTTAGTTACTTTTATTACTGCTCGTTAAATGAACGTTGTCTGAGGTTCTTTTTTCACTCATCTAAATGTATTTTGTTGAATCGTTATCTCAACAAAAAAAATCATTATTTTTATTAGTTATGTGTTTAATGGTTTTAAAGTGAAAATGAAACAGGAAGTAAAAACTATCTACAGCTTGAAATTCTGAAGCGCGTCATGTAACTGCAAAAGTGTTCATAAGTTGATTTTAAATCGTTAGATTCAACAGAAATAAGTAAGCAGGTATGACAAAATAATAATTTCGCTTTTTAACTTTTTAGAAAACATAATTTTTCATCTTTTTCAAAGCATTTTTCTAATTCGCCATGCCCACGACGTATAAGTTGGTTTTACTCTTTTTAGTATAAATAAAATTTTTTTATTATATTCTATAAATATTTCTAGATATTCGTAGGTGGCTTTCAAACTTAAAAAACCTTATATATAAACCGGTTTCGTATAAATCTTTAGGTGAAAAAATATAAAAAATTAGCAAAATGTCTAACAGGAGACATAAAAAAAAAGAAAAAAAAAACGTCGCTATAAGAAATATTAAATAAACTAGGCTATTAGCTAGCCAACTGACAACTGAAAAATAAATTTAACAGAAAGGTTTTTATGCCATGCTTTAAGGTATCATGATAAAATTACCAAATTCTACCACATTTTCCAAATTTTATCACATATTATGAAACCATATTTTATTGTTAGTTTTTAATTTTACCAAAATAATTACCAATGCACTTTTGAGGTTCTTATAAAGCCAGAAATACGGTAAATTTTACCATAATATAATGGTTTTTATCATACTTTTTTTCTCAGAGTAAAATGCACTGTTAATGGTTCAGGAAGTTAGCCTGATCTAACATTTTCTAACTAAGCAGGGCCGCCGGGATGGGAGGTCACTGCAACCTACCAATAGGTTTCACTATTCGGCTAAGTTTTCAGGTCAATCGGCGTATTTATGAAATTTCATTTTCTCTCTTTTTGTTCCCGAAAGCACAAACTAAATTCGAGTAACATTGCCACCGTGAATAGTAATCGAATAAACGACTACGCGCAAGATTAAATTACACAAAATTATAATTTAACAAGCCTTTTATTTTAAACTCTTAAATAATCAATAGAAAAAAGCGTTTATGTAAAATTATAATACTTATAAATTAAGTGAATTATAATTTTAAGGATAAAACATACAAAGAAATTGAATGGCAAACTGCTTAATCTCCCTATCTTTGAAGATGATCGTGTAAGATTTATTTTTATTCATTTCCCTTCCTTTTGTTAAATAACTACCCATTCAACAACCTTTCTACTTTCCTATTTTTTCCTCAACTTTCTATCTTAATTATGCGACTTAACTCTTTTTATCTCTACTCAATTCTCCACTTACTTTCCTATTTAACTCTCTCAATTCCTAATCTCTCCGACACTCCTGGAATTCTTTTTTTACTGTCCTACGGAAAACTACCCCCTTAAAAGTTAAAACCCTATCATTTTAGGTTAAGCTTATAACCGTCGTTGAACAGCCGTCCCAACTTAAAGCTTACTCCGTAGCCTTGCAATTTTGAACCCAATGCAGAAGACAAAGGTACTCCTGGATCAAGAAAATCGGGAGAAATTCGCCTTCGTGGAGGACTTTTTGATGAAACTAACCCAAATTTACGTTACATGGAGAAGAAAACCACGAAAACCTCACACGGTTACACTGACGGCAAGAGGACTCTAACCCATGATCCGTCTACCATTAAGGATATTTTTCGTGAACACCGTGGTCAATGCGAGCTATGGCAGGGATTCGAATCCGGTTCATTTCATTAGGAGGCGAACGCTCTATCCCCTATCTTAGTGTGAAGGACCAATCGGAACTAAAATATCTTTAACCAATTCTGAATTTAAAAGGGAAACTCAATAATCCACCCACATTAAATCACGCTGTTCAAAGGTTATCCTAAACACCTTAATAACATTAGTCAATATTTCAAATAGTTATTTAAATTATTTTAAATTAGTTTAATATTTTGAATTTTTTAAATAGCGAAGACAAAAATATGCACTATTATCATTTCAGGTATCTATTTCATGATTCTTATACTCTCCTCAACAAATCTAATTCCCTCCTTGCTATGAAATAAATAAATCAATAAAAAAAAAACATATATATATATAAAGTACTTTTATATCACTCTCCACGGAGCTCGTATTTTACGAATACAAAAGAATCAGTTAAATAAGAATCATTGAAAGAGAAGGCGCCAATTAGATGATCTTCAAAAACTCCCTCACCCTTCTTTTGTGAAAAAGAAAAATTCAGAAATAATAATAATTTTGAAATACATAAAAACTACGTTTGAAAGAGTGCATAGACATCGCAAAGTTGACTGCTTAACATTTTGAAGTATTTTTTTTAATTATTATTTTTCTATGCTAAGTGAGTAAATGTTACCAAACTGAAGGGGAAAAAAAAGCAGTGGTCATATTAATGCCACTCAAACTATACGGGGTGGCCACAGTTTGGAACAATTTAAAAAGAGGAGCTAAAGTTTCAAGTAATATAAAGATTTTTAATTTCATTTTAGCTTCAGAAATTCATTTGATGTATACCAAATATATTTTTAAAATTATTTTGTACAATTTAAGCTAAAGGCGCTGTTTTTTATTGTTTTCTTCTAAGCGAATATTTATTAACTGTTAGATTAGTGTATCTATTTTTAAGGCATTTTTACTTTAACTCCACGTCGGTAAATTTGTTTTCTACTTCAAACGCTCAATTTCAATTGCATTTCTATTTTTTACCCATATAGACGCATTAGAAAGAGTAATTTTTATCTTAAGATAATTATTCTTTATTTGGAAATATCGCATTTATCATCGTAAGGGAGTGCGTCCTGAATGAAACCTCCATGTTTTCCCAATAAAAAATTTTTTTTTCAAAAATAAAATAAAATAAAAAAATAATGTAGATATTTGGGTTGTTTTTGATTAAAAAAAACAGTCTTCTAGCTACTAAAAAATTAGAACTCTAGAAGTATATTTGTACTAAAGTCTAAGAAAATTGCTTGAATTTTTTTTTTTTTTCATTCATATAAATTGAAGAAATTTAAGTGATGAATAATCAATGATGATATGTTTCCCTTAGATCTAAATAACTGAAAAAAGAGCAAATTTGAGAAATTATTATTTGGCAGCAGTCCGTGTTTGGGAGATTTTACCTTTAACGCAGAAGTTTCATGCTGTATTTCAAAACCATAAATTATTAAAATGCTAAATATAATATTTCACCCTTACTTTAACCTATATTTATGCAAAATAATGAAAAAAAAATTAAAAATATGTTTAATAAAAATTCTGCGCTAAAGGGTTAAGGAAGCAAGGTACTTTTAGATTATCAAATTTCAAATTTAGTTTGAAAGATCAGCAACTAATGGCGCTTCTTGATGGAAAAATATAAAACAAAGTTTTCTGCTGCCTCTCAGGTCATTCTGAATTATTTCAATTGCTGATTGGCACAAGTTCTTTTGTTTACAGACTGCTCAAGCTGTTGCTGCAAAGGGAATTGAAACTTAGTGAGAAATCCTAGTTTTTCTAGACAGAAAGAAGCAAATTTTACATTTATATTTACTTCCGTTTTTCCAATGAATTTTTCAAGTCGTTAGTCATTTTTGGGACGTCTGGTAATACTTATTAAGATTTAAGTAACTTTATCTGCCGAAAATTTATAAGTGAAAATGGAAAAATTTAGCTTAAATATAGCAATAATCTATTTATTAGAGCTAGAAAAATTTTATATAACCAATAAGAGAGGTAGAACTTGAAAAGAAAAAAAAACGTTTGTGTTATACACAAAAAAATACACAAAGAAGATACAAAATTTTCATTTAGTATTTTAATTCAGAACTTTATAACAAGGCACATCAATATGTAACAAACGAAGCTTTGGGAATCAATTTCTCATTACTTACAATAGAAATTACACAATATAAAAAGAGCAGGAAAACAAAATGGGTGACGCAGTGCAAAATAAAGAATATGTTTCTTTTTCTTTTGAACTTTGATAAAATTTGACCATTTATTTAGGTTGTAAAAAATGACCAAGAGAATGTCCAGGGTTGTAAGCACATGACCCGGCAACGGAATCAGTCATCGAACGTCCATCTGAAACTGTAGAAAACATACTTTGTTCTTGAGTTGCTGGAACCATATGACCGAAAACCGGACAACTCTGCATGGTCAAAAGTCCAGCAGATGGGGCAAAAGTCTTCGCTGAAGCACAATGGCCGAAGCCGGATTCATTGGCAGTGTCTAAAAATGCACCGGACTGATGTGAGTTCACCCTTCGATTGCTGTGGTGAAATTCTGGGGTACTATAGTTACTCCTGTACAAATCAAGTGTGGATTGATGATGCTGGGGTAGCTGACCAGCACTTCCAGCCACTCCAGAAGTGGTCTTATCCAAGTCTCCTAATAAGTGATGTTCATTACCGGATAGGTGATGATGATCTCTTGGTGCAGCACCAGATGGCAGACATCCCACCCTCTGTGAAAATTGTTCTGTGAATCGATTCCATGCAGGAGGTCCAGGAGGTCCTGGTGGCTGTAGGTGATGTGCGTATTGGTGGTGAGGTGCTCCAGGTGGAGCCAGACCGAAATGAACGTAAGGGTCTGCCGTTGGAGGGGGTGGGCCAAGGGTGGCCCCATTAGGAGACACTGAGGTGGTTGAAGATTCTAAGACAGTGGTGGTTGCATATTTGCAGGGCCCATTTCTAGAGCTTGAGGTGGTAGGTATTATAGAGTTTGATGTGACCCCAATAGTTGGAGAAGAAAGCCCGCTGTTGTTGTTGTGTTCATGACCTGCAAAAGAAAAAAAAATATTTAATGAAAAAAAGTCGCAAAAAGAAATTCTAAAAATTAAGCCTGGCTGTATAAGTTAATTCTGATAAAATAATAATATATTTTTGCTACGTTTCAATGGATAAAAAAAAAGCAAATTATGTTTCATACCTGGAAAATCTAGATTTGCTATGAAATTCAAATTTTGATTTAAAAACAGAAAAATATGTATTTATACATTTATTTTACAAACAATTTATAATTTTAAGCTGTAACAACAATCTAGTGAGTAACTCCTGAACTACGTTTCAAGAACTTCTAGCAGTGGCAATCCCAGGCACTTGCATACTTATCAGCGTGGTTTTTAGAACCCAAAATTACACGGCTGCTCAAAAACTTTTAAGGTAGCTACTAAAAAATATGCAGAGCATTCAGAATGTATGGAAACTGTCAAATATCTCGAGAAATGCGTATCAAATTGAAAAATAAATCATGCGAAATATTTTCAAAAGAATTATTCAATGATACCAAATTCAACCCCCAAACCCTGGAGAGGAAGAAGAACAATGTAATCCTCAGAATGTCTCCATTTTAAACGATTTTCACGCCAACTTCATTACCAACGAAACAAAATGTAAAGACCTGTGTGTTAAATTGGGGTGCAATTTTCAAGAAAAAAGAAAAAGTATTCCTTCCTAAATGTAGCAAAACAAAGCAGAATAAGCATATTTTATTTTATACTTTGTCAACATATATTTAATTTATTCCGATTAAGTAAATCTAGTCGAAATTCCCAGTTTTGAAAATTTGTCTAGTTTCTGAGCTAGCACGCACAAAAAAGAAGAAGAAAAAAAAAACAATTAACTTCTTTATAATAAAATTGAAACCAGTTTTCGAATTTTCCTTCCTTATGACTGTGGTCATACGTGCCTCAATACTCTGATTGTTATAAATTTTTCTAAAAATTGTGTTTGCAAACATTAACGGACGTAATTAAAAATATATAGAACAATATCTTCTAAAATACTGGTACTCTAAAAGTAAATAAAAAATTTAAAAAAATTAAATAATGTAAAAAAATTCTAAATTTATAATTAATTCATAACCTACTGTATATAAAAATATTTTTTTTTTATTAATTCGCAGATATTGTTCCTAAGAAACGATAAAGTTTATTCTACTATACTTTTCGAAATATAAAAAAAAAAATACAACAGATATGTTTTGTTTTACTTCAATAACGAGTAAACTATAACTAAAATTCTATAGGTACTTCTAAAATCTGATAAAATTCAGAATAATACTTCTTAAATAAATATGATAATACTAAAACTTAAGTTATTGTAATAGCTTCATTAACAGACGCTTCTAGTAGATGGCAGCACTAAAAGATAAACTTGTATCGTATGTAGAAAAAAGATTTACTAAGACTTCAAGTAGATGGCAGCACTAAAAGTTATCTTACCTTTTAATTTTTGCATTATTATAGTAATGCGGAAATGAAATTAATTATATTTAAAGATGTAACACAAGTAAGTAACAGGAAAAATAATATATTATATTTTTCATTTCTATATTAACTGATACATATTGCAAAAAGTATAACTTTATTTGAGCTTCGTGTAAATGTGTGAAAACAGCTCTATTATTTTTTGTGTATTTTTTTCCAGTAATATTTGTTTGTGAAGGTCAACAGTGGCACAAAATAAAAATATCTATGTTTATATTTATTTAATAATAAAAATATCGATATTTAATCAACGGTTTAGATACTGTTCTGTTTAAAATAAAAATTAAACTGCTTATAATAATTCGAAAAACATAAATTTGTAGTTTAAATTTTCAATTTATTCAAAATAATAATTATAATCGAATATAGATTTTATATAGTAAAAATTCTTTGTTTAAAAAATCCTTTAATTAGTTAGAATTCCAATTCAAGAAATATTTTTAAAAAATTTCTGAATTAATAAACTTAAAATATATGTATATAAACGTACTTTAAAATTAAATACATGCATATGTATCACATTACAATCTGTGACGACTGTATAGTAAAAAGAATTCATAGAAGTTTAGATATTTTAGGAATTTTTTCAATATTTTTTTTTTAAATTATCCTCTTTTTTGATTAAATATTGATTTAGAAAATAAATTAAACAGTTTAAAATGAGTTTCAATTTTTTGTTTCATTCCATTTAGCCAAATGCAAAAACAAATAGCTACCAGAAATGTTACAAATTTTTGGGATTCTTATACACAATTTTTTACTGATGATAATAATCGAAATTTTTAATCTTAGCATAAAATGTCAGACATGTTCATATTTTTCAATATAAAATGTTACGTGCCATTTTCATATGCATTTTTAACATTCAAGCAAAACAAAAGGTAAGCACTAGCCTAATTTTACACAATAAATAAGTTTCAATAATAATTTTAAAAAAATTTTATATTTTGCTTTGGCTATATTGATAAAATACCAGAAAGCACTCTTTTTTGCGGATATAATCGTGTGGGCTGATGAAAAGATTATATCTTTTATTTTCCGGATGTTTTTAAAAAATTTTATCCTTTTTTTTTCCCAGCTGTTTGTTATTTTTTTTTTCATTATTATTTTTCTTTTCCTCCCTTTTTTCATATGTCTGTATTTTTCCTTTGTTTTATCTTCATTTTGAACTTATCCAATGAATTCTGTTTACTTGCAGCTTATGCGCAATAAATGAAACTTATTGTTTTTCTTAACTTTCTTCGTGTTTTCTTGT